CAGCATTAAGTCTGAGTATGATTCAGTGGGCTATATAACACTTTTAATTGTCAGGAAATTACTTGTCTTTAAAAGTTTTGGTTCAATATACTTACCTGTTGATCAAAAATAGCCTTAAACCTATACACTTTTTTTATTTTTATTTAGTAACTTTCAGGAGGGTGTACTCATTTTTGCAACACAACATTTTATCACTTTGATAAGAAAATCTTATTTTGCTGAATAATTTTGGCATTCTTCTTTGGTAATTGATCAAGCAGGCTTGTTGGAACATTACATCTCCAAAGAACCCTAACATGTCTTCTAAGTAAAGAGTAATTGCTGAATTTGTTAAGTTTTAGAGGGGGTGTACTCATTTATGCTGTGCACTGTATATAGACGGGCAGTTCTAAGGGTGAGATGTGAAAGCGTGTGTGTCTATCTGGTCTCACCTGCTGGCCTGTGCTCTGGACACCCTGTCTGGACGTTAGCTCTGCTGGGATTGGGAGGCTCCAGGCTTCCTCAATACCAGGAAGCATTTTACTTTTACTCTGTAGACTATTGTGTTGGAGGTTACAGAACTGAGCCTAGGATGAAAACGCGTGAAAAAGACATGTAAACAGCCATCTGAGGTGGTGCGGCGGAACAGTTCAAACAGAGAGCAGTGCGGCCTGATGCCAAACCAGTCTAGATTTATGGAGGCTTCTAGCTGCAGTGACTCACGCATACAAACGAAGAATGAAGGTGAAAGAAATCTGATTGAGACACAAATTAACTGAACACATTCAGAACAAATGCAACACGCAGGCAGACCCACATACAGAGCCGAGTCGAGCGGTGTAGACCCACCGGCACTAGCGTGGGCTACACGACTCGTTCAGCAGGACAGGTGTGCGTGGCTCTCACCTGCAGGTATCTGATGCGGGCCGCCAGTGCAGGTGTGTTGCTGCAGGCTTTGCTGCGCGTGGCGTTGACGTAGCACTTGATGGCGTCCTGCGGCTGGTTGCAGGACTCGTAGAGCGTGCCCAGGTCCATCCAGGCCGCGGCGTGACTGTGATCCAGCTGCACGGCGCAGATATACGCCTGCAGAGCGTCCATGGGCTGATTCTGCTGCTGATACAGCACGCTAACAGAGCAAACCAGACACAATGAGGCAGCGGGTCAGAAACCACAGTTGTGCCATCGCTTACTCGTCCTCATGTCGTGATATTACTGCCGTCAAACAAAAGATTCATTCTGGAAGAATCACAGCACCTGATGCGCTGCACTACCAGCAGAGTTATGACAAAAAAATCAATCACGATTATTCTGGTCATTACTGTAATCACGATTATTTAACAGGATTCTGAGTGGGCCGTATGACCAAAACTTTATGAATGATTTATTTAAAGATAGTGATATATATCCAGAACTGCCAACCTTGGAATTTTTTTTTTGAGTGCCATCAGTGTGGCCGAGGGGGGGTGCAAGATGTAATGTTAAATATTTTTCATAAGTTAATACTCTGGGTCTATGATATTTCTGTTATACAGTACTTTAGAGTAAACAGTAGGGATGCAACAATACAGTTAGCCCACGGTTCAATAAATACCTCCGTTTGTTTTTACCATAGTTTTTGGTTTAGTTCTTTTTTGCTATTTTTAAATGCTATTAAAAAAAACTAACTCCAGAACACTAATTAAAACTCCAGTACACTTCTGTATACTGTCAAAAAAAAAAAAAAAACACTATTATCATTATAACACTTTTCGGCTGAAATAGAAAAATGGCTGAAAATACGAGCCGATAATATATATATGATATACAGTATATGGCACTCTCCTCGTCACTCGGTTTGACGCTCTATGAATGTGTGTTCCGCTCGTGTACCGCTCATCCTCACAGAAAAAGCAAAGTCCGCTCAAATAACGCGCTGACAGGAGATTTCTATGCAGTATACTTGTTCCGGTTAGCAGTAGCGCTACTGTGCTGTAACATGGTGTAGGCTAGTTCAGCTGTACTGGACAACGCTGCTAAAATAATGCTACCTTCAGTGACGCTATGCTCTGCTCACATGCTCTGATAATAATAGCTTTGTAGGACTATACATTATTTGATATAATGATAATTAGTCAAAAAAAACAACAACAACAACAACAACTTATATCTGATTTTGTTACATAGAAGTGAATAAAAATAATATATTGATATTTAATATTAATGTGACTTTTCAATAAGGTTCCATTAGTTAATGTTAGTTAATGTATTCACTATCATGAACGAACAATGAACAATACATTTATTACAGTATTTATTAATCTTTCTTAATGTTAGTTTTTTTAGAATAGAGTTATTCACTGTTAGTTCATGTTAATTCAGAGTGCATTAACTGTTAACAAGCACAACTGTTGATTTTAATAATGCATTAGTAAATGTTGAAGAACTATTGTTCATTCTTAGTTCATGTTAACTAGTTAAAGTTAACCTTATTGTAAAGTGTTACCAATATTTTTTTAACCTTAAACCGCATAAACACATTTCATTACACCAAATAATGTTCTTTTTAGCAGCATCATATGACCCCTTTAATAAATTCTGTCCAGTTTTATTGTGTTACTTTCAGTAAAAGTGTGGTTATTTTATTGCTTGTGTTTTTTTAATTCAGTATCATTAAAGTGATTAGTTAAATTAAAAAGTCTTACAAAATTACTTTGTAATGATTATTTATTATTTTATTAAATAATATAAAGCATTTTCGGTTTTCGGTCAAGTGCATTCAGAATTTTCATTTCGGTGCGTCCCTATTATTTTGTGCTGTGGACACATGTGATGTGTTTCAGTCCCTCGTGCAGAAAATCCAGATATGCACTACAGAAGAAACAGAGCTGATGACGCTCCAGGAAATCACTAATATGGACAAAAGCATCCCGCTATCATGCAACTGAAGGAAAGAAGACAGAAACGCTTCGAATGATGACATTCAAAAAGAACATTAAGACTAAAAACACTCTACTGCGACAATGTTTATCTGTCGGGTAATTAAGAATATTTATAATCCACTGCTAATCGCCGTTATTACAGTATAATATATTTCTGCATCATTCTGTGATAAGAAGCCACATCAGATCAAGAAGGAAATTATTTTAAACATTTGTCTGATGTTGTGGAGTAAAAGCATGTTATAATGTTCTTTTTTGTTGTTGGACAACAGGTTTAGTCATTACAAGGGAAGATACAGGCGTTTCCTCATCTGAAATTACTGAAAATAATAAAACTGTCAGTAATAAAAAAAGTCACTAATCTCAGCAAGCGCTGCATTTTGACACATTTCTGCATGTATTTGACCGTTTAGGTCCTAAAAGATGACCATGTTCTGTTCAGTCTCTGAGCGCATGCACAGAAATCCTGCGCTTTTAAAAACATGAATAAATCTAATCAACTTTAATAAATCAAGCACGTCCCATTTTGCAAAAGTCACATGATTAAGTGTGACATGAGTGTGAGTAACGATGGCCGAAGAGCTCTTCATGTAAACATCAGCAGGTCTGATGGATCTGACAGATACGCACCCGATCGAGCACCACGTGTCTGCGCTGGCCTCTGATTTGTCTATGGACTGTCTGTATGAGATGAACGCATCCTGGACCTTCCCAATACTGGAGTAGCACCTGCAGAGAGAAACCACATCTGCATAAACGCAGGCGTCACGGCCGACCGAACGGGCCGCGTGCGCAGACGCAGACGTGTGACTGACCTGCCGAGGAAATACCAGGACTGGCCAGAGTTCGGATCGGCTTCCAGAGATTTCTGGAGACACTGGATGGCGTAGCTGTCTTTATTAGCTTTATCTCCCAGCTGCTCGACCGTATGATGCATCCAGCCTGACACAGACAGAGACACTCTTTCAGACAGAATACACTGCATACGGCTGACAGATGCAGAACACCTGGTGAAACTCAGCGTAACTACTCTGTGGTCTGCGATCATTACCACAGAGAACACTTCAGACTCTATCCTCAAACCGAGCGATCAGTGATGCATTTACAGCAGAACGGTCAAGTGCGTGTTTTTGTTAAAGTAGCTTCAGTTCGAAAGCGAACAACGAGCTTCTCGACTCGCAGGTGAAGAGCTGTTCACGAGCCACTGATGATTCTGCTGCAGATAAACAGCTTTTCTGCTATCTCTGCATTTGTCACACTACAAAAAAAGGCTCATCTTACTTCACATTTTTGCCTTGTTTCTAGTCAAAATATCTAAAAATTCTTAAATTAAGATGCTTTTACTAAATAAGCAAAACGACCAGATATTTAGTCTTGTTCACAGGGGGAAAAAACTAAATTAAGTGCATTTTGCTTAAAACAAGTGAAATTATCTGCCAGTGGGGCAAGTAGAATACTCATAAAACAAGAATTTTAATTACCCCACTGGCAGATAATATCACACTTAATTTAGTTTTTTCCCCTTACAAACAGGACTCTTAATTAAGCATCTTAATTGAATAATTTATAGATATTTTGATTAGAAACAAGACAAAAATACTAAGTAAGATCAGCCTTTTTTGCAGTGAGCTCTCAGGTTTACCAGATTTACATAGAGTTTATTTATAACATTTATCCCAGCACTGGACGAGCTGAAATTCTTTTATATTACGAGGCACTTAAACACAGATTGTGAGCAGACACAGGTGCTAATGGTGTAGCGTGTCCAGTCCGTGTGCATGTTCTTACCCAGCTGCTGAAAGGTCGCCGCCTTCACCTGCGCAGGTAAGTCCTCCGTCTGCAGGAGACTCTCGTAGGCCTCTTTGGCTGCACGGTATCTCTTCTGGGACGCCACAAAACCAGACAGGACATTCATCAATCAACTAACCGGTAAACACGCCGAGTCTCTGCCATCACAAACACACGGACTCAAACAAAACCCTGCTCTAGCGGCGTCTGCGTGACATCACTGTGGTGAACAGGAAGGAAGGAGGGATGCCTCGGCAACACCACGGCAACCCCTCTCCTGTTGCTATGGTAACACGGCCCGAGCAGTAAGCTCCAGCATCCGCTTCACAAACACGATCTCATGCACTAACATTAATCACAGGCAGAACTGGTTAACACGTGCGGTCAGTGAAAGAAAGAGATGTTAATGAAGGACTCACCTGGATCTCGTATAAATGCGCGATGTGAAACTGAACTACAAACAAAAACAAAGACAACAATTAGAAGCAAATTCAGAACAGAAGATACTCTATTTAAATGTTTCTGAGAAGAAGAGCCTGACAAACATCTTCCTTTGTCCAGTGGAGGTGAGACGGCCCTGATCAAGCTTGTGTGTGTGTGTGAGATAGAGAAAGAGTGTGTGTGTGTGTGTGAGAGAGAGAGATATAGAGTGTGTGTGTGTGTGAGAGAGAGAGAGATTGAGTGTGTGTGTGTGTGTGAGTGTGAGTGTGTGTGAGAGAGAGAGAATGTGTGTGTGTGTGAGAGAGAGAGATTGAGTGTGTGTGTGTGTGAGTGTGAGAGAGAGAATGTGTGTGTGTGTGTGTGTGTGAGTGTGAGTGTGTGTGTGTAAGAGTGTGAGTGTGTGTGTGAGAGAGAGAGATTGAGTGTGTGTGTGTGTGTGAGTGTGAGAGAGAGAGAGAGAGAGAGAAAAAATCACAAACACTACGCCAGCGGCCGCTGCTATTGGTGTTTCCAAGGCAACCGGTCGCAGGCAATATGAGTTTGAGAATATGAAGGGACGATAATAATTGCTGTAAACGGAGCCGTGCGTTTTTTTCCATTGAGAATCAAAGGCAGCATTAAAGGTTAAAGAGTTTAAATAAGCTATTAACACGCATAATAATGTCGTCTGTGGGGTTTCAAGCTGTGTTACGGTCCAGCAGGTGAAAATGGTTAGTCTGATCACTCCGTAAACAGCAGCACGCTCTCGTCCGGAGCAAACACTGTACTCACACACACTTCACTACTTAGTGCTACTAGTGTGAACAGCATCAGTACTAGTGAGGGCTACCTTAACTAACACCACTAATAGTCTGCTGTTTAAACTGATAACACGGTCACAGTGTTTGTTGTGTAACGGTGGCATTATCTTGAGATGTGGGTGCGGTACTTACTCTCCGCTTTGGACAAAGTGCAGTGATTGGAGTCGATGAGGGCCAGCTGAAAGTGCTGCGGACACACAGGAGACCGAGTGACCTCTCACACCTCTCAGTACCACACTGACATCTTAACTCAAGACACTTTCAACGCCTCACAACATTAAAGACTGCATATACTGCGGTTCATTAACGCAAGTCAAAGAGTTTAATCACAAACACACAGCAAACACATCCGAGAAACTGAGCTACTTCTGAGACACGAATGAAACTTCGGTTCAAGATGATAATCAAAGCGCAATTGTAAATTAACAATGAATGACACAGAATAAATACGTGACAGAAACCAAGCTAAATGTGCTGTCCCCATCGAGTAAAGATCAGGACTCAGACCTCTATCTAAATGAGACATAATTCAGCCGCATTCAGTCTGTCAACAGATTCTCGTCACTCGTATGTGTTCACATGTCAGAGACCACATCGGGAGGATTGACTGAAGATGCCGTGATGTGTTAAACTGATAGTTTGTAGATATTTTCATGTAAATCACAAATTCACTACTGCACATACACTACATGTGTTTTAAAGCAGTGTGACGCTCGTGTCGTACCTTTAAGCTGGACTCGTAGTCTGTGTTGACTTTGAACATCAGGCCGAGACGCAGATGAATCTCTTTAGCGCGAGAGAAGCCAGGGTCGATGTACAGCACCTCCTGAAACGCCTTGATCGCCCTGAGCAAACAAACCGCAATTAAAAACTCGTTTCTGAACAGCACTATGCTACTGAATAAGACTGAATCTAAACCCGTGAGGAATCTCCCAGAATCAGCCTACATGTGTGCGGGGGGGGTCGTCTGGATATCGCCATGGAAACCGACCACCCACCCTTTGATGCCCATCTGAGCTCGTTAACCTCATTACAGGAGCGGCCAAAACGAGAACGACAAACGGGGCGTTCTCATCACGTTACTGCATGCAGATACTCACCACTGAAACGCATTGTAATGGAAGTAAAGCATCCCGAGGCCGTACAGAAATGCAGCATTCTAGAGGATCAGAGGACAGTGTTTGAGATTCAGAGAAAAAAATCATCAGACATCCACATTCAACAAGATCAGTCACAGTGAAAACCACCTGAAACACGATGAAAACCACACAGGAAGATCCCACTACAACTGCCAATCAACACACACACACACACACAAACCAAAAAAAAACACACAAACACACAAAAACAAACAAACACACACACACAAACAAACAAACAAACACACAAAAACAAACAAACACACACACACAAACAAACAAAGAAACTAGTGGTTGACCGATATTGGTTTTCTGATGCAGATATCTTAGAGAGCAGGGTGGCCAATATAAAGCCGAGATATATATATACTGTATATATATATATATATATATATATAGGGCTTGAGATTAACTTTTTTGCTCATCAGACACTGTGGCTAGTGGATTTCCAAAATTACTAGCTACTCAGCATTTTCACCGGCTGTAATTTTGTTGTTGGGAAATTACGTTTTATATGACTAAAGTTACTGCATACTAAAATTTATTTACATTGATTTCCAAATATTTTTTTTTTGTCCATTTACAGGGCATTTTTCCCTAACCGTATTAAATGCATGCATCATCTTTCATATCAAATTCTTACATTTTATTAATAATTTCACTTAATGTAATAAGACACTATAGGGCTGTTACCAATCCAATGAAATCAGTATTAACAAAAACTATCTTTCCACTGCAGAACAGAAGTGGCATTTAGATGCATTTACAGTTTTATGAAGCTGAAATGTAGCATGAATGCAGTTACACTGCAACATTATAACAGCATAACTAAGGTTATGAGCTTGGTGTTTTAAATTAAATATAAAAGTAAACCACCAGTAGGTGGCAGCAAGTGACTGTCTTAAACAGTGAGTCATTGAGGCAAAGGATTCGTTCAGACGGCCGATTCATTCAAGAATAAAGCAAGTGCCTGTCTTTGTGAATGGACCACTGAATAATTGAATCAAATGAGTAGTTCAAAAACACTGAATCATTCAGTAACGAAACACCGCTGTGTGTTGCTCAGATAAGTGCGACTGTTCTAGTGTGATCTTTGGAACCATTTTCGTTAACCAAATAGAGCAAAAACAGTCAACATTGACAGTATTGTACTGTATATTAACTACTCGTTTGAACTCTTGTATAAAATCAATGTCAATCGTGGTTTTCAGGGAAAACTGCACTCTCTTGGTCGTGACTTGTTATAAATAAACTACCTTTTCACCGCAGTATGTTTCTTGTGTGTGCAGTTGCGTTCATGTTTTGATTTCTCCACGAGATTGTTTCACATACAGACGAGGCTGTGAGAGCCTCAACTGGCGCGACCTTGTTCCTGTCAATATTATACATTATCAATCGCAGTTATCATATGGTTAGTCATGGAACCCCTGATGTCAGCCCAGACCCGGTTACTTTGTAGTTTGAATTCACCGCAGAATGAATAAAGATTGCTGCGAGATTTACTGAGAAGCATTCAAATTCTGCACAGAAAGCTCTGTTATAACCAGATCAGACATCGCTGACGTAGAAAACCAGAAGCGGTAGCGCTAACTATAACCATAGTGTTGTAGCAGAAATAGTCGAATGTAATAACATTATTAATTTCAGGGTTTGTACAGCCTTTTGAGAGAGAAATTCAAGCAGTTTCAATGACTTACAAGCATTTCACACAACTGTTTCCAGCGCGTCCGGAGCGAGATCCAGTTCAGACTAAAAGCGTAAACTTTATTGAGATCGGGACATATCAACCAGTAATTTCATTTCCAGTAACGGGACGGAAATGTCCCACAACTGATTGTTTATTTTTTTCCTCACGTGTCTCACTACAATGATTCAAAGCGGACACATTTCAAGTGACACGGGAAAAAGACACGGAAAACTTAAATGAACATTAGAAAAGCAGCGCGCACATTTCTGGTTAAAAATGAAAGGCCATCAACTGACACTTAAAACGGGAAGCATCACCACTGAAATCACAGCAAGAGAAGCTCCACAGTTTAGTAATAATTTTAATAATAATAATTTATGCATTTAGCAGACGCTTTTATCCAAAGCGACTTACAGTGCATACAGGCTATACATTTTTGACCAGTATGTGTGCTCCCTGTTTAATAGTAAACGCAGGCAACCTCTTTCAGTTATTCTTCACTGCGCTGTATTAACACAATGCATTGCAATATGGTAGTGCATTGTTTTGATGCATACATCCGAAAAAAGTTAGTTTTTTTTGTGCTTTTTTTTCTTGTCCCCCCGACTCGAAAGTCAAATGTCGCCCATGCACACACACACACACTCACACTCACACACACACACTCATACACACACACACACTCACACACACACACACTCACACACACACACACACACACACACACACACTCATACACACTCATACACACACACACACTTAACATTGTAATGTTGTAATAACTTGTCAAATGATTAATCAAAAAGTTTTTGTTTACATAATTTATGTGTGTGTACTGTGTATATTTATTAAGTATATATAAATACACACACATACAGCATATATTTTGAAAATTTTGACATGCATATATTTAGTCATAAAATTTATATTATGTATAATTATATTTAATATATAAATGTAACATTTTTCTTAAATATATACATGCAA